GAAAAAAAAGATTGAACTATATTAATAGAGACTAGAGAAAAAAATGTTTCACTATTTCGCAATTTTGCGATTTTAATGACAAAAACCGCTTATATCATTAGTTTTTTCTTAATACTAGGCAGGTAGCCGCGCGTTGCGCGGGACAATAGTTACAAAAAAAAATTATTTAAAGATTGTAATTTGAACATTTACATTCAACACAAACCAATTACTTATTTCAATTAACGAAGATCTAATTTTGTGTGGAGAAATGTTTTAGTTATTAATTTTTATTCAGAAACTAAAGTACATTTTTCATATATGATTTAGCATCATTCTATGACAAAATTACATAATATCCATTCAAAATTATCTGTTACATTGTTAACTAATTTAAATTAATGCAAAATTTTGTCACATGGTCGTATACCATAACCCCCAAAACCAACCACTATCTTAGTTTTTAGGATTTCTTTTATTTTTTTCCAATAAATATTGACTTCTTTGATTCTTTACCATTTTTTATCAAAATAACTTTTCTTCATCGTATTTATCTTTTCTATCTAGTTCCGATTTTTTCCAATTTTTTCCAGATATCTTCTAATTTTTTCTTCTTCTTCATTTTTTTATACCTTTTTATACTTGTATATATATATTTGTTTCTGATGATTGTATAATTTTTTCTTTAGCTAGCGGTGGAGACAGAAGTACCCATAGTTATTTTGGCGGTTATGTTTGTTTTATCAGTGACTTGGTCGCATAAGAATGCACTCTTTCAACAGATTAGTAACAAATTTGAGTTGACGAATGAGTGTCAAATCTTCTGCATTAGCCTTTGATCCTGTCTATGGTGAGATAGCCATGATGATCATTTGCAGATGTTTAATTTGCACCCTTCATATGTATAATATAGCCAGAAAGATCTTCCACATGATGATAAGCGTTTTTCCTCATGAAAACTCTGTGACGCTTAACTCATACTACCATTGGAGAAAAAACTGATTCTAGAAGTTAGTGTAGATTATATGTGAGATCACGTCTGAAGATCATGATCTCTCTTCAATATCTTG